TGCCATTGCGTGCTCTGGTAAGTGTATCCTCTTCATAGATTGTGTAGTATGGTATCTCAAGTGTTACTAGACAAAATATTTTAGGATTTGCGTTCTTGTTTATGTTCCCCGTCCACATTACCCTCTCTCTCTCTCTCTCTCTCTATTGTATGACATAACGAATGCAGAGTCTGAGTGTTACAATGTCCTCATATTGTATGAACTAACGAATGCAGAGTCTGTGTGTTACAATGTCCTCATTGACGGGTAGTGGCTATGAAATGACCCTGACATAAGTTTGATCATTCTTATTAACAAAGTAGAAATAATATTATAATGCAGTATATATCTGACAGGTCACTGTGCTATCTTGTTTCAGACTCAAAGTGGCAAAATCCCACCTCAATCAGATCCAGATCCAGAGAGCCAGAGCCCAGCTTCATCCCCCCAACAGGTTAGTACACATTTATTGTAGATTGTCTCTATTTTAATTACATGGGTGTCTGGGTTCAGTCCCAGTTGAGATTTAGAAGCCTTTTCACTATATTTAAACACATTTAGAGTAAAATATGAACAATACCAGCCTTTTTTATAACTCTTTTTGTGAATACCACTGTGGACATGTACAACCACTACCATGAGGTTACATTCTCTACCCCCCAATGCATGAAATGTTTGTTATTCAAACTAAATTCTATGATTCATTATAAGTTTATTGATATTTTTTCCAATTAAGCCCACTGCTAGCATCTAACATATTCATTCACAATTAAAGTACATCTGTGACATCAGTGTGGGAAGTTTTAAAGCTTTCTTTGACATCAACAAGATAACTTAGGAGTCAGAATCACCCACTCTGTGTATGTGCAGTCGTCATGTCCTCATTTTGTTTTAGTTTGAGTTACAAAAGTGTGTTTCAGAGGACGTCCCCATATTGTATGACCTGACGAATGCAGAGTCCTGCCTGTTTGATGTACATAGGAGAGACTGTTATTCTTTGTACTGTGGAATGGATGCAATGAAAGAGCCAAAACTTCAGTTAAAAACAAGTAAAGGAAGACATTTTTAGCAGCTGATACCAATTATCTGCCTGGCTTAAAAAAAAAAAAAAAAA